CACTTTGTTTTTGTTATAGTATTTACAGTAAACAGACTGATTACCGGCTGGTATATACTTCTGTTCATAATTTAATTAGCGTTAGCGTTAGCGTTAGCGTTAGCGTTAGCGTTAGCGTTAGCGTTAGCGTTGTTATGATATACTTCGTAGATTGGATACTAGCGACACTCACGTCTCTTCTGAAATTCTCAGTTAGACTACTTTCAGGAATAATGCTGAGGAGTAAACATTGGTTCCAATCCAAACAAGAGTAACAGAAGCATGACTGTCGCTATTCCCGGCCACGCCCATCTTTACCATAACTAGGGATAGGGAAGGAAATGTTGATGTAGTACTTACTTAACGAGAGGCCACCGACTTAGCGACACCCTCATAAGTGCTACGGAGTTGGAGGGTTGGGTAGGGTATTCGGTTAGGATTCACCTCAAGTTGGCGATGCAACCAAAAGTATGTATTGTTTATTTGTTGTTTATTTAATCTCTCGATAGCCGGCTATCGAAAGAACATATTAATTTTGTTTAGTGATAATGAATTTTAAGAGTCATGATGGAGAGCTTGGGATTAAACCCATGATTTTCTGCTCAGTAAACAAAAACGATCCCTCCAGGGTCATCGAGCATCTCAGAACCATAACGCTTCGCGACAATACAGGACTACGTTTTCGCTTGATATGCAAATAGTTTCCGAGGTTAATGTTCAATATCAAATATACAAATGATGGTGGCGATTTATTGTGCTGTGGAAGAGCTTGGGGTTAAATCCATGATTTTCTGCTCAGTAAGCAAAATCGATCCCTCGAGGGTCATCGAGCATCTTATAATCCACAGCGCTTTGAATAACTATTATTTACGATAATTACATGAAATAAATAAAATATAAACTACAAACAAAACGTGACTGCTAAAATCTCAAAAAGATATTCTCACTAATATATTTCACGCCACCAGGAATCTCAAAACCATTAGACGTTATAATGATACTCTGCACATATTAGATACAAGAAGAGGCCAAAAAAACAAGCGTCCGACACACAAAACCCGTCAAATCCACAATCAACGATTCTACGAATCGCGAGCGCTCACGAATCATAAAACCGCTGACTGCGACACTCTGAAAGCGAAATTGACAGGCTCTATGCGCCAAACACCCGCCCTCCAATCTCCACCCACATCCAACAGCACAAATCTCCATTACAACATCTAACGAATTCAAAACTCCGAAAATCACTCATCTATAGCAAGTGAGTGGAAGCAACCCTGCATGCAACCATTCTTAATGATACACTTGTTCTGCCTATCTTTCTATTAGGCCTGTGGACATGCGTTAGCTTCGAAACTTCTAACCAAACTGGGTAAATTTTCAGATAACAAAAAAAAACTTGAAAAAAAAACTTTCAAAGGTAATTACAAGTAAGATAAATATTGATTATTTTACGCGAAAACGAGCAAGTAATATTAAATCTCTTGTATCATATGCTAATGCAAATTGACTGTAACAAAAATAATATGCTTAAATAAAATAAAATATTAATAAAATTATATGCAAAATTTACAAGAAGATCATTACTTTATTGGTGAGAAGTTTTTAATAAGCCCTCCCAGTTCCTCTGTATACAGAACAAATCTGATACTATAATCAGAATTGCTCAGTCTGCATAATGCAGCCGATTGCATCAAGGAAGTTCTATTAACAACCAAGAATTAATCGTTTGAGGTATACTGAAGCATTAAGAAGGTGATATGTGTCACTATAGGAAATCATCATCGTTGCAAATATAAAGAAATTAAACATAACCCTTTGCTTCAGTACCGTCAACCTCCATGTCCATGGGGAGGGAATACTTCTGTTCATAATTTAATTGTGGTCCTAAAAGTGAAAAATACGTTTCTATGGGGCCAAAACGTTGTGCTTTAGAAGTATATGCCTCTGATGTTACTAGTGCTACGTGATCGTTAAACCCCAATTTGGAGTCAATCGTAGCCCCTAGATCGAGAATTGCAGAGACTCGTTCCAATGAGTACTGGTGATTGATAGTAGCGCAGCGACGATAAAATGAAATTCTTTTACATTTTTACATTTATTTCCTTCCATTTTCATTAGACCTTAGCAACAAATTGTCAATATCGCGCTGAAGTGCAAGACAGTCGAGAACGGAACCTATAATTCTATAGATCTTCGGATCATCGGCAAACAACTGCTTGAATGATTAAATGCGTGGGCCCATTTCGTTCACGAGCAACACGATGTTATCCACCTCGGACCCACTGTGTTTCGATGGCAGTACACTCAAAGTAATCGACACGTTGAAACTACGTGAAAAATCACGTAAGCTCTTTCTTTTTTTTTCCACTCTCCACAGTTTTATGAGACTCACGTAGAATGTCTGTTAAACCCCTTGAATATCAAAGGGAATTCCGATTAAGCACACATACTTAATCAATGCAATTTACGTGATTTTCACATACACTGTTTCTATGTGCGTTTCACGTAAACCTTATCCAGCTTTCCATGCTCGGTAATGGCGGCCTGTTTGTATGAATAAATGTATCCTTCTCTGTGCTTTTTGACACTAACTGGAGGGCGAATGTTGTTCCATTTTCTTCTGTTCCTGGGAGAGAGAAAGGGAGGGTTCGAAATTCGAACATCCAGATAGTGTCAAAAAGCACAGTGAAAGATGCATTTATTCATACAAACAGGCCGCCATTACTGAGCATGGAAAGCTGGATATGATTTCCACATCTGAAAAAAAGAGTTCTACACTCAGAGTGGTGCAAAGTATGTTTCTGATTTTATTACTTTTATTTTTTTTCCGATCGATTCGATGCAAAATCTCACACTCAGCGTCCGCTTGTCGTTACTACCCTAGCAGCAAACTTGTCGCAAAACGACGGTAGAAAGTCCTATGCGTCTTATTCCGGCCTTGACTTGATTGTAAGTTGCCGCAATTTTTCGAGATGGAAGTGTGCTGCTTGGGTACATTACTCAGGCTTACCAACTGTACTATTTTCTAAAATATTTTTATATAAGGGACTGTCCATTAAACTTATGCAAAATTTGAAAGTTTTACTCCATCAGCCTTCAAAAATGTGTACTCATTTAGTAAGAACTGACTTGGCACAAACCATTTGAAGTTTATAAGAAAATTACTATTGGAAACGAAATTGTTTGTTCATATCAATCTAATATTTCACCATTATGCTCCACCATTAAAATGATAGCTGTGCATGTGAGAATGTTTTTCCAGCTACAACTTTGTTGAAGAAACAATTTTCGATAAAATGTAAGGAACAAATCTTATGAAAGATTCAACTCACTAATGTCTTATGATTATGCTCAATCAACTGTTCAGCAGGCAACATTGGTGTTTCTGGCCCGTGGAATAGATCACAAAAATCATGGCTATAATGTTACACTGCAAAATATAGTTTTGCCACAAAACAAACTATTTAAATTGACGTTTGACTGGAAATCGATCTTCTGCAAAGTTGCAGCTGCGAAAATGTTCCATTAGAATAGTAATAGAACTTTTTAACAGATATGGAAAAAGGCTAGAAGTCAATGAACAAAAAGCATAATTTTTCCATAGTAATTTCCCTTAAAAGCTTCAAATGGTTTGTGCCAAGCCAGTTTCTCACCAAACGTGCTCAAATTTTGCGAGGCTAATCAGGACCCGATCTGAAACCTTTGGAGTTCTGTGGAACGAAAATTTCAATTTTTTTTTTACATCATTCTACTATCCATATACCACGTATGCAGTTTAAGTCCGGGTTCATTAGTGTCCATATAAAATTTTAAAAACAAAGGGGGCATCGTTTTCATAAATATAAAAAAGTATTTGCAATTTTATATGCCACACTTCAGTTTGATTCATAACCCCAAAATATGAGTCTGTGTTGAAAATTTAAAAGATATATAAAGGTTTGATTTGAAGTTTGTATGGTAATGACTTTGGAAGCTTTCGAAATTTCACTTATATCGCTAAAATTTTGGTTATAGTTTTCCAAAAACTGAAAAAATGTAATGTGTAGCCCTTGTCACAAATCAATTGTAGAAACTTATATACGACTTATTTCAGTCATAAACAAGTTGCTGTAACTTAATGTGATGAAAGTGTGCTACTCGGAAGTTGCTATGACAATGACCAACAAGCCTGTTGCTGATGCGGTCAGTTTGGTAGCAATTCAATAAGGATAAAAATGCAGGAAAATGACAAAATAGGGTAAATTGTTAGTTGATTGGCAACCACATATTACTTTGGAATACTCGAGCCAATGCTAGAGCGCTTTAAATGGAATTTAGACATTTCCTATAGTATTTAGCCATAGTCTCCATACAACCTTCAAACCATTTGAATGACCTCTACACTCAAAATAATCCTCACATCAATGCATATTGAAAACACACATAGTAAGACTTACGTAATTATCATATGGAGGCACTCATTTCAGTGAGCTGCAATGTCACTGGATTATCACGTAGCAGTTACATGATTCTTTATGCTTTCGATCAAATTCATGGTGATTTCAATGATGTTTAATTAAGATTTGATTTAAATAAATTGTATTATTTATTTATTAAGACACATCGGCATTAAAAATATAATGAAAAAAAATCGACAGAGACAAGGATCGAGAACAGGAACACATACGGAAATGCATCGCCTTATATATCTTCCACTTGATTTGAAGTCCATACATGATGGCCCTTGTCATCGTACTAAAAGGAACAAACTTAATTAATCTCCACGCAAAATTTTAATTCATATTAGTTAGAACACGAAATTGCCTTACAGAAAAAAAAACCAAACCAATCTGGATTTGCAATGGTATGTAAACATACACAATGAACTAGCACCATATTGTATAGCACTATGAGTGAATCACTCATTTATTTTTTCAGACGTGAAAATCACTGAGGGAGAATTTGTGTACGGAAAGAATGAATACGTAGAGTTTACTTGGGCCACGTAAAATTTACAGAAAAGCAAAAAGAGATACCCTACGTGATTTTTCACCTAACAGCAACATTTCGACTAATGGAATGCATCAACGGTACCTAAATCAGATAAATTCTATAATCGTTACTTAAACGACCGTCTGATTTCGTCTTCGTCTATATTATCCACAATCCAGCCGACAAAAGCCGATGTGCGGGAAAACGTCATGTAATACCAGCTCTCACATTCTCTAGTATCCGTAGACAGTCCAACTATGTAGGGAACTCCATCGAAATCTTCCCATCTAAGAATACTGTGTGATCGATGGCAGGTAAACTTCCAGTAGGGATATTTTACACAAATATGAGAATCACGCACTCTATGATGATGTGTCCTTTGACAGTCAGAGTTGTACATGGTAAGCACTTCTTTGAATTTAATATTAGTGTCATTGGTATCGATTGGATGCATCATTTCAACTATCAGTGGTGAGTGCGTTCTGTTGGTCCATAAACAGAATGGGTGTAGACGTGGGCTCCAATGTAATGGTTCCGTCAAGCGTAGCAAAGCGATATCGCTACTGTAATCGGTTGTGTTGTAGGCGTAATGTTTAATAACTTTGTCTACATGATGTATGTTTTTAATTCGATCTCCAACCGGTTGCACAGTGATTGATGTTCTACTACCAAGACAGCTGGCGGAAGTAAGAATAGTCTTATCAGTCACGATAGCACCCATGCAAAGGTACTGGGATGAGTTGTCCAATATTTTAACCTACAAAAATGGAATCAGTAGTTACCACAGGAAGCCATTCAAGTGTCGAGCTGTATCATACCATCGGTCCATTTGAATTTTCCGGAAGCAGCACATTTACGAGTTTGGAGCATTTTTCCAGCATAGCATGCTTGCTATTCCAGCCATCCTTATCGATTTCTTCATTTGGGCAGCAGATCACCGAGCTAGAGGAACAGAAGTTCGCCAATCCGGTAAAGCCGTACTGCTTCCATTTTCGTTGGCACCTTGAAATGGATGCACAGCGCCCAGGCAATCCATATTCATCCTCGCACAAATCACCCTCACTGCGGATAGAGTCCAAAAATTGAACTGAATCTGCCCCGACAGGTTTTGGAAGTAATATACGCTCCATCCATTTAAGATGACTTTGCGGCCGTGTTGCGATCAGATGCTCACCATAGCCACAGTCACGCCCAATCTGTACCAACCCATCTAATGGTGGATAGATATCACCATCAACTACTTGATCTCCCTCAGGAATCTGAAGATGGTGGGTAAAAACCTTATCAACCGACGATATGGAGCTTCCTATCTTCAGTTCACATGCACCAGGCACCAGGAAACGGTCAGTCCCAGCACAGATAAGATCACTGGCGATTCCATCTTGAAATCGTGCTCTAAACTCTTGAGGTATCAGGCAGCTGGTTGTGTTTTTCACTTTAACATAAACCTCCAGCGATAGCAATGATGGGTCTGAAACAATGATTGATTTAAGGTTCACATGAACTACTATCTTGGTTCAAAACTAACCTATACAATCGGGGAACTGATTGCAATTATACAAATCCTTCCGACCGACACCGAATACGGTGTCAGGTTCCCGTATCGATGTTTTAATACATGCTGGCCGAATTTTGATAAAGCTAAGCAATTTTTCCAAGCGCATAATAGCGATGTTGTTGTAACCGGATCCAGGCACATACCTAGGATGCACATGGATCTTTGCAACATTGATCATTCCTTCTGGATGCGATATGTAAGAAACCGGAACTCTGTAATAGTGTTAGCATATGATTGAGAGTTTATCAATTGAGACCGAACTTACCCTTTATACTGGATGCAATCAGCTACCGTTAGTATAGTATTTTCATCGACAATCACACCGTAACAATGCTGAGGTCCATCGTTACCAGCCCACATAAGCTTGGCGATGTATGATGGGTGTACATGGCTATAAATGTGCTCCTTTTTAGGAAATACGCTTACATGGGTTTGGTTGAAAGGTGACGAGTACAAGTCTTCTCGAAACTTATCGTAGCGCAATGCGCAGAATGTGGCGTTAAATATATCATCTAGGGGAAACAAATAATGAGGCGGGAGTCACATCACATTTTACGTAATGCTCACTTACCTTCAACCATAGCACCAGTGTTTCGCATAGTTGCTAGAATCCAGTCTTGATAGGGTGCTATCTTGGTATAAACTCCAGGCTTTGATTGGCCACAGGGTAGCCCAAAAGATGTGACTGCCACTACAAACGGAGTGAGTCGACGGTGATGCAATAATTTGATTTGCAGTGGGCCACCCGAATCACCCTGGAAATTAAGAAACAGATACAATGAAAGGATATGTAGTCAGCATGCAACAAATAGGCGCCTGGTGCTCACTTCACAGGTGTCCATCTTTTCATCGAATGCACATAGGTGGTTTTCATGAAGTCCTGATTTCAATCCACGCACTAACTCTTTTGAGTAGAATGCTTCACATTGTTCGGTCTTCATTGGTTTTAAAGAGACTTTCAATAGTGCGGGTGTGTGGGTTTCCACTGCAAAATAACGTATGAATTTTTCGATTAATTACTTCCCGGAAAGCACGCGTAACACGAGAAAAGGGCCTATATGTGGTGATCGTTTTTCAAGGTTGTCGACCTTCTCCGATTTGCATGGAACTTTACTTATTTGTTCTATATGGTCAATCATTCTCGTTTTAGCTCAAATTTAGAGGTTATGAATCCCGAAAAAAAATACTTCAAAATGGCGTATTCTAGATTTATCAACATCACTTGCATTCATGCGAAATTATGTCTGAGACAAATATGTTGGAAAAAAATATTCCTTTTAAGGAAAAATATGCACGGTAAAAAAAATCAAGTAATTTTAGATAAAAAATATTTCTCATCAAAAAGCCTATGAATTTTTGTTTGCTTTATTAGAGAGATTTTCAGCCTTCAGCTGGTTCCCCGAAAACAAAATAATTATAATAAAACAACGAAATTACAGTAAGATTTACTGTTGAATTTCGAGTACATTAAATAGAGGAAATGGCTCTAATGTTGGCCTATGGATCTAAGATTTGGCCCATCGCCAAAAATCTGCAATTTATCAATGTTATCTAGATGAACGCGTCATTGGGATGGTACTAATGGATATTTTTGGTCGCTATTGAAAATTTAATCTAAAGGGTGATCGGTCAAAATTTGGTCAAGGGAAAACGCGTGTAAATCGGTGAAATCGTTTATTTAAAAAATCAAATTAAATTTCTTTTTCAAGTTCAATTAGTATAAAATTCAGGAAAAATATTCAGATAGGCTTCCACTTTTCAAAATCCGAATTGCCGGGCCTTACGCTTGACCCCTGCCATCAGATTTTGTACAGCCACCTTGTCCACCTTCTTCGCCGCAGAAAGCCAGTTTGCCTTGAACTGCTGCTCGCCCTTAGCAGTTTTTTTGGTCTTCTTTAGGTTCCGCTTGACAATAGCCCAGTATTTCTCAATTGGGCGGAGCTCTGGCGTGTTGGGAGGGTTCTTGTCCTTGGGAACCACCTGCACGTTGTTGGCGGCGTACCACTCCATGGCCTTTTTACCGTAATGGCAAGATGCCAAATCCGGCCAAAACAGTACGGAACACCCGTGTTTCTTCAGGAAAGGCAGCAGACGTTTATTCAAACACTCTTTCACGTAAATTTCTTGGTTGACAGTCCCGGAAGCTATGAAAATGCTGCTTTTCAAGCCACAGGTACAGATGGCTTGCCAAACCAGATATTTCTTTGCAAACTTTGACAGTTTCATGTGCTTGAAAACATCTGCTACCTTTCCCCTTCCTTTTGCCGTATAAAACTCCTGTCCCGGAAGCTGCTTGTAGTCGGCTTTGACGTTGGTTTCGTCGTCCATTACCACGCAGTCAAACTTCGTCAGCATCGTCGTGTACAGCCTCCGGGATCGCGCTTTGGCCGACGTATTTTGTTTATCATCGCTATTTGGAGTCACTACCTTCTTGTAAGTCGATAGTCCGGCTCGTTTTTTGGCTCGATGCACGGTTGTAGACGATACACCCAGCTTATTTGCGGCATCTCGGAGAGAGAGGTTAGGGTTTCGCTTGAAACTACCGGCAACTCTCTTTGTCGTCTCAGCGGCTTCCGGTTTTCGATCTCCCCCCGATCCAGACTTCCTGGCTGTCGACAAACGTTCCCCAAACACTTTAATTACATTTGTAACGGTTGATTTGGCAACTTTTAGCGATTTTGCCAACTTTGCGTGCGAGTAGCTCGGATTTTCGCGATGCGCGAGCAAAATTTTGATACGCTGCTCTTCTTGCTTGGACGGCATTTTGACAACTGAAGAGTGAATTCCAAAATCAAAATAGGAGCAACATTCTACACACACACACCTTCAAAATGAGGGGTGTTCAGGTTTTTTAAATGCAAAATTGAAAGAAATACGTCAAGTTGATATTGACCAAATTTTGACCGTATCACCCTTTATTGATGAATTTATGTATGGGCCATCCATTTCCCCTCATCATCGGATCTTGCCAAATTCATCGTTCGAAACTGAAAGTGTCAAAAATTCTCATATATTTCCTCATTATTAAAGTGAAAGAATTACCTAAATTATCGATACAGTTCTCATATTCTGATCTATTTTTAGGTGACAGATTTAATCTAATCGAAAAAAAAGTCCGCCTTAGGAAAGCGTTAATTTTACTAATAATTTTTAATTTAGGATGCAAAATATAGTTATTTGTTATATTAATCATTCCACCCAGCTGAGATAATTCGACGATTTTTGTAATTTCTATCTCTCTGCTCATTGATGAATATAAGTTATTTTCAAGGAAAAACATCTTGAAAAACTAAGATAGTAAAAAAAACGATATTTTTCCATAAAGCCATTTGTGAAAAAGCTGTTTTGAGACTGAATTGTTTTTATCTGAAGCCATTTTTCTTGATCCTATTCCATTTAGTTTTATCACGGCATTAATGGTGGCAACGTTGCCTGGAAAAAGTTAAACGATACACACTACCAAAAAAGCATGTAAATTTCCGTGCCCTGAGACCGACACATGCAAGCGGCCCAAATGACATAATAATCTGTTGAAAGAAACGAGAAAATAAATTCAATCAATCGTACTTTTTGTCGAGTTGTGTATGTTTCGGTTTGGGAACACTTAATTTTACATGACATGTTTGTTTACGTTCCATAATTTACGTCAAAGATGGATTACGTCTCGTGTAAAAATAGTTATTTTTAAGTGTGTAGTTTTGTTGTGCTCACGAGGTTATGCTCCAGCGTTGGATCAACGAGTTACGTGACATCCTCGATAAGGATGCTTTCCATCCATTGGAAACAGTTAATCAACAAGTATATCTACATAACAACCCAACAAACAATTGCCTATTGAAGAAACGACTGTTTGACTATTGTATTCCACTTCATGCTTAGTAATACTTGTACTATTTTGAATAATAACTTCTGTTCAGGCTTTGTTCACACAAATCTGGAAAATTTATTCAACCACAACATCGAAATATTTGATGTTGAATAAGGTATGTCGAGAAGCTTTTATTCGACTTACAAAAGTTGTAAGAGAGCTTATTCGATCAAATTTTTGATTATTCAGCTTTTACAAGACATCATTACTTCCTTAAACATCGATGGTATAAAGGTGTATATAGACGCTTAATTCTCATGTGAAATAATGTTTAATTAGACACTATTATACATTTATTCCACTACGGGATAATAAATCCGAAAATAAGAACGGGACAGAGCATAGTTGTTCTCGTTAGTGATTGTTGTGTCATTACTTCTGTCGAAGCACGCACCCTCCACACATATAAATCATAGAAAATTTATTACATACATACATACATACACACACATGTCGTTAGATGGAATTCGAACCATGACCTTCCGATCACCAGCCGCTTGCCTTGCCATCTGAGCTATCCTAGAGTACATCAAATGGGCAGCTAAATAAATAATAAAAGCTTGAATCTGAAAACCTATCAGTACTCCCAGCCGTAACTCTAGCTAATTCATGGAGATGAGAGAATGATTAATTCATTGATAGTTGTTTTACATGAAACCAATTTTACCTCTCCATCTCTCTAATTTCGATGGAAAGGATGCTGAGCTATTCTTTTCGATAGATCTATGAATTGGTTGTCGTGAGTGATACGATCTATGATTAGGATTTAAATAAATTAGGCGTAGAAAATAAATATAATAAAAGGGTTTAGGTTGGGATTGAACTCGCGACCTTCTACTTGGAAAGCGGAAACGGTAACCACTATACTACCAATTTCGTTTTGTTGCTAGCTTGAAGCAGTGCTGTGGAATAATGAATGAATACGCCGTTTGTAAAGCATTTACAAAGCATGAAATTAAAGCATGGACGCATAGTGGTATAAGAGCTATTATGCTGACTGTATTCACCTTCATTCAGCTATATTGTTAAGCAATGCAATGGAATCTAATAATGAAGCCAGAAAACAATTATTAGACGTATAATAAAGCATGTTATTGAATCAATTTAAAACAGTCGAATTAAAGCGTCAATGTATGTGAAAATTACACTTATTCAGTATGTTATTAGATCAAACTTCTGGTTCTGAGTCAGGAAGACAGTCAACGTTTATAAAGCTTTTAATAAGTAAATTAGTCATATCAGAGCAAACGGCGGAATAAAGGCGCATCTTTCGATCTCAATGAGCTTTTTTCAGCACATAATTCGACATCCTGTTTTATTCAGCAATGTACACTGTTATACAGCATTTATTCAATGTGTATGCTTATTTGTGACTGTGAATTGTTTGTTGGGAAGCATGTCTACATAACGAAAAGTTTCTCTTCTCCTGGATGATGTGATGTAGTTTATGTGCGCTTGCTTGGAATTTTTCTGCGCTAGGATTAACATGCAGAAGATCTTCAAACAGAAAATGCGACATAATTAGAGCTTTGAACATCTTAAGCCGAACATTCGTGGGTGCGGCGGAAGCTACACTATAGAACGGGCGCAGACAGACATAGATTTTCCAGCATTTCTGATTAATGAATCCATCCCACTCCAAGTAAGCTTGAAACACGAAATCGAGATCTACAGCTCTGTCTCATTAAATGGGTTGTCCTCTCATGATAATAACAGGCAGCAACAGCTTTTCGACTGGTTCATAAAACGCTTATTGCGATTGGACCATTCAGCAACTCTATCAAGGTCTTCGTTAACCATTCTTATTATCTCACGAACACATGGGCCAAACCGTATAGTTGAACGTCGTTGAATTGAGCACCATCTTAACACCGTTGGGAGATCATTAATGTAGCGGCAAAACAACAAAGGACCGATCAACGACATTTGTGGTACGCCAGATGTTACCTTGCAAATCTCAGAACATTGATTGCCCCAAAAGACAGTTTGAGTTCTTCCAAATAGGCATGAATCGACGAGGCTTACTGCACCAGGGAAAAAATTGAGCTTCGTATTAGGGGTAGAATTTCTGATTTTATGATTATGAATAATGACATCAATTACATAATTTATATATA